GAAATTGAATTTCCAGGCACAGCTCTGCAGTGCAGACAGAGAGGTGTGAACAGAACCTGCCATTGCCCATTTCAAACACAGCGGCCTCTTCTCCTCTGTGCTGAGCAAATGCAGATGGTAAGACCATGTGTTGTTGCCTACTTGTGTTTGACCAAACTCTCCAGAGACAGGGCAGGGAGAGGAGGAATGGAAATGGGAAGTGCAGCCCAGGGCAAGACCCCAGGAAGGGAAGGTGCCTGGTGGGGAGATGACATGGAGAGACTGGGCAGAGAAGAGGAAGGGTTGCAGCCTGTAAGTGCTTTCACTTGCTTTCACTTGCTCCTCTGGCTTCTAGAGTGCATGCCAGGAGATAATGGCATCTCTGCAAAGCTTCCCAGGCTCTCTTTGCACTTCCTCAAAATTTAAGAGCTCTTTAGGTGCCAATATTCTGTTCAGAAGGTTGTAATTACTCTGACATTTCCAAAAATCTCACAAGGTTTCCAGGCAAAGGTTCTCTGTGATTGAAGTGTTATAGACATCTGATTTTAAGAAAAGGAAATCAAAACTGGAATATCACCCTAGTGCCTCTCCTTCCTATAATTTACATCGAAATATCTGTACACATTAATGGAAATGCTTTTGCAACAAAAATAAATGAGTATCATTTAACGTTAGCGTGCATGTTCATACTAAAAATGTGTAAATCAATTGAAACATTACTCCTGTTTCCAAAAATTAAATAAAAAAACTTCAGACTCCATCTTTCACTCAACAGTTTGCCCATTGACACATACACACAGTAAATTGCCCATACACACAGTAAATTATTATCCAAGATCATTAACTCCAGCTACATTGGTGCAGATGTGCTCATGACATGGGTACAAAGACAGCAGACCCAGCAGCACACAGATTTGTGTCTGGCTGATTGTCACTTGTCACACCATGCTCTCAAGGACAGCGTTTTGATGCCTGGAGAAAGACTGGCTTCTCCCACTGGTCCCCAGCATGGCTTTGGGACGTTCCTTCCCACCTCTCTGTCTCTGTTACTTCAACCATGAAGCAGAGAAATGACACCAACCAATTCTGTGAAACACTGGAGGTGTTACCCGTGAGAAGTGGTACCTGGTGGAGTTGTTTGTACAACGAGGAACAGCAGCCTGGCTTGCTCTCATCCCAGGCAGAGTTTACACAACTGACTTCTCAAAAACCCGAGAAGAAAGCCAGCCTGTGCCTGGAAGAGAGCCCCAGGAAGTCAGAGCCCTTTCCTGCCACTGGAAACCTTTGGCGTGTCAGACTTACCACGACTGATGTAAGCTATGCCAGTTTTAAAATGGATGATGATTCAAAATTTAAGCTATTTTGTCAAACCCAGTTCTTACCCTTGTGTCCCACTGCTGCCCAGGCCCCCAGGAGCGATGGGGGCTCCCCAGGGTGGCAGGGCAGGTGGGGGCACTGGGGCAGCCCCAGCTCAGCAGTGTCCATGGCCAGGCAGGGCAGGGATGAGGGGGCTGGAGACCAGCCCTGCTGCAGCACCGCTGGGGCAGGTGGCCCCAGGGGCTGAAATGGGGCCATGGGCAGGGTGGGATGAGGCCAGGCACAGACTGTAAGACCTGTTAGTGCTCCCAGGGCCCAGCACTCTTCTGCAGACAGGGCAAGTAAGTCACTTCATCCTTTTTTGTTTCATTTCTGCATTGCAGAGTAGTCGAAGCTGAGCTTTCTCCCATCCAGCAAAACTACACATTCTGCATAGCAGCCACACAGCCCAAGGCCCAACAGATCCATGGATGCCGCAGCAGCACAGTTGTTCCTAATGTGCTCGCCAAGAAAACTCTATTGCTCAGATCAAAGCTTCCATTGGTCCTTACCCTTATCTGAACACTCAAAGGGAACTGAAAACTCTCCCAAAAACTTCACAGTCACTGATGTCTCACTCTTTGCAACTGTATGTAATCCCCTGCATCTGTCTTGCTTCTCTTGTCATGTATCTGCCTCTCAGTAAGTCTCTAGGTGCAGGCCTGCCTTCCAGTCTGACAAAAGTGAACCAGAGCCTCAGGATTCATCTCTTAGGAAATTCTGATTTCAACTGAACACCAAGAAAAAAAAAAAAATTTTGATTCCACCTGGGGAGAAGGGAGTCACAATCAACCTCACACCATTCACTAGAGATTTTCTCCCACTTTGCACCTTTCACATGTATGCATCAGAATTCACAAACTTGGAGAATAACATGGATAAATAATGCAAAATGAGGATTTTCCAACCAGCTCTGAAAACCAGCCTCTAACAGAAAAAAGAAAGTGGGATGTTATTCCAGAAGATGCATTCCTAAAGCACTGAGCCAGCCATCACAAAGCCAATAACTCCCTTCAAGTTTATTCCTGTTCACCTCCAAGCTTAGCAAGCACTACACATCTCTTATAATAGTGGTAGTTAGAGAAAGATGTGGAAAGAATCAGCAAGCAGCACCAGCATCACCTGCAGAAGCTCTTCCCTACTCTGCTACTATTTTGCAGAGGAGGGGACAGTTCTCCATGCCCTGAAAGCCTGACATAGACCCAGTTTATTCACAATATTGAAATGAAGGTTTTAAACCCAAACTTGGTGGTTCTTCCAAGGACTGCAGATAGGAACAGGGCTCCTTTCCCCCCACCCTGTGATGTTTGGGCTCCTCAAGTCAAGAGAAAGCAGCAATGCTGTGGATCAACCCTGGGAGGCAGCCAGGCACCACACAGCTGCTCACTTGCTCCTTCCCTCCCAGCAGGAGGGCATGAGAAAGCTCCTGGCTTGACAACGCAGCTATTCCCAGAGTAAATTCCTGACAAAGTGTGCTTGCACACACTTATCCCTTATTTTTTTTTTTTTTTTTACACTGGAGAGAAATATAAATAACAATCAATGCAATTTAACTGTACAAATTTCTAAAGGTTACATTTATCCAACTGGACAAACTAAGAAAAGTCAAATCCCAATTAGTAACAGTTAAAACCCATGTTTGTCATTTCTGGAGAAATAATTACAGAAGAATTAAAATTTCCAGATGAGAAAGCTCCTCCTCTATGTCTAATGAAACACACTACAGGAAACTGTGACCTTTAAACAGCTAGAAATGAAAAGATGACATTAATGCTTCCACAGAAGCAACCACCACCCCACAAAAAAGAAAAATAATCAAAACCAGCTACCTTAATGTGCTACTTCAGATAATATTTCATGCTGAATACTTATGCTGAAAACAACTTCTTGTGCCAGATCCAAGACCTTTTGAAATTATTCATATTCTGCCATCAGCTTCAAAGGGGAACAAGATTTGCCTTGCAAAATAATCAAGAGAGCTGCAACTGTTCACAGGCAAATTAATTCATGGCAGCTTTGGTTGCAACAGCTGCAGAAATTGGAAAGCTGATTAAGTATATTAGTGATGTGTTCTGGTAAGGACCGAATTCAAACACTTCAAATACAAAGGGTAATTAATTTTCCAAAATATCAGAATTGTAGGATTATAGAATGGTTGGGGTTCTAAGGGACCTCAAAGTTCATCAGTTGGGGGGCTGGTGTTGAGGAGGGTGTTCAGGGGTTGTTGGGGTGGGTGTTGGGGGTTGTTCCCACCATTGGTAGGGACAGACCATGCTGCTCAGAGCTCCACCCAACCTGAACATTTCTAGGGATGGGGCAGCCACAACTTCTTTGGGCAACCTGTTCCAGTGCCTCACCAGCCTCACAGTAAGGAATTTTTTCCTAGTATCTAATCTAAACCTACTCAAAATCTTTCAGTTTGAAGCCTTTCCCCCTTGTCCTCTCACTCCAAGCCCTTGTAAATAGTCTCTCTCCATCTCTCTTGTGGACTCCCTCCAGGTACTGGAAAGCCCCAATTAGGTCACCCCAAAGCCTTCTCTTTTCTAGGCTGAACAATCTCAACTCTCTCAGCCTTTCCTCACAGCTGAGGTGCTCCATCCCTCTGACCACCTTGGTGGCCTCCTCTGGACTTGCTCCAACAGGTCCATGTCCTTCCTGTGCCGGGGACCCCCCAGAGCTGGAGGCAGCACTGCAGGTGCCAGAGCAGAGGGGCAGAATCCCCCCCTCATCTGGTGCCCACGCTGTTTTGGATGCAGCCAAGGATACAATTTTCATCCCAGGATACAAATGATGTTGTAACATTCTATACAAAAAAACGTTCCTCTGAGGAGAATCAGGGTGGGACATCTTTAGGAGGTATTACATCATTACACATTTACCTATTACACACATAAAAAGGCAATAAATTTTATAAAGAAATTTATTGTGCAAGAATGATTTTCATGCTCATTTACAATGAAATAATTAGTTTTAACAAATAATCATGCCATTGTATAATTTCAACACTAAACAGAATATTTACATTCAAGTTTACACCTTTGTTCAAGTTCCATGTACGATATTGTCAGAATTAAGTAAGAATGCATCTTCAAATCAAAGTTTGCATTTTTTTGTTACATTAAAATATCACCACCTTTCAGACATTTACTGGAAACGACAAATTTCCCTTCTTTGCAGTACCTTCATTTCCACTGGAAAAGAACAAAACCAAACAGGAAACCCCAAACAAAACCCCCTTCACAAAACCAACCTGCAGAAACCAGTGTCACAGACATAAATCAATCTCCAATCAGCCAGGCATTTCCCACATGTTTAATGGGAAGGAAGCTGCAGAATAACCTCTGCACAACTGACTTTTGGGGGACAGTTTATGTCATCCTTGCAAGAGATCATTCATGCCTTAAGAAAACGAACCTCAGGACAATTCTTCCACAAAACCCTAAATAACAGAAAGACTTGTTTTGTCAATATTGAAGTGAACATCATTTAATAGTACCAAACACACTTTGGAACTTTTTGTTCTTTTTTTTCCCCCCCCGTGATAGGCATGCCCAGGAACACTGCACTGTGGTCTAGCAGCTTTTTAAAAACAAAGAACAAAAAAACCCAAAAAACCCAAAAACCAAAAAATGAAAACAAAAACCAAAAACCCCAAACAAACAACAAACAAAGAAAAACCCCAAACAAACCAAACCAAAACAAAAGCAAAAAACCAAACCAAACCAAAAACAACATAAAAACTCTCTCAAATACCATCCCCAAACATCTGCTGTATAGTAACGATTATAAAAAAAATAAGCCAGCAGTTCACAAACAGTCCATAGAAATAAAAACAAAACAAAAACCCCCAACATTAAAGAAAAAAAGAAAAACAAAAGAAAAAAGAAAAAATAGTTTTAGTGTGCAGAAATTTAAACTGTGACTTTTTGGTGCTGCTTTTTCCTCTTCACATTCTACAGTCTAAGGGAAATTCAGGCTCCAGCCTGCATTTTCTTGGCCTGGATACAAATCTCTTGGTCCTTGGACAAAGGCTGCTAACACAATCACCTCCTTCCCACCTTGACCTGAAAGTCAGCTCATATGACACCCAACTTCAGAAGTGGTTCTGAATTACAACTTACTGTGGTCCTGTTGAACAGCTCAAAAATACAACAGAATTTTTCCTTAATTCCACAGTTCCATGTGATGCCTGCTATTCTAATCCACACTCTCCTATCAGTGTTTCACCTGCTCCCTAGATTTCACTGCAGCCTGGAATTGTAACAAAGGAACCAGTGCACACCTGCCAGTACCCTGCCCTGACTCTTACATAAAGTTAAACCACAACAAAAAAAAAAAAAGTGATTGTCTTGGATTTTGGCTATGAATGTTACGGAGACTGATTTTGAAGATGCAAACCTAAACATTCCCACACTTTAAATAATCTTCATATTTGGCAGAGACTATTCCACTTTTTCTGTCTTCATGTTGTGACATCTCCTGCAGAACTTGTGGGCTGAGGAACAGCCGTAGAAGGCTGTGCTGGTAACATTTCCAGCTCAGACTCACGGACAAATATGACGGCGTCGCCACTGACATTTATTAAACACTGAGCCTGGGAAAAAAGACAATACTCAGTTACCAAACTATTAAACTATTTTATGTTTACTTATATCTGCTAGATATAAATACACAGAAAAGTCAATGGGGATCAGGAGAAAGACAAATCATTAGAATTCATTAGTGAACCAATCTGTGCCATGTTTTCTTTTATATTCACTCACTTGTGTGCTATCAAACACGCAGACAGAGTCTTGTAAGACACCACAAATGAAATATCTGGGTAGCTGTACTTGCTTTTACTACTGTTTTGAACATATTCCATTTGCCAAAACAATTGTATTCAATTGTTAGTCGTTACTAATAAGGCTTTGTCCCTTTATGCACAAAATAAAGCATTTTATATCAGCAACTCCAGGTATTTTTACAGGGAGTTTGGATGGAAATCCTGCACTGCAACATCAGGAAAACTAAGTAAGTTCAGCACTACTGTACAACAATTTCCTGCAATTTACTTCATTCTAGTAAACTCAGTATTTTTACCCATATTCCTAATTTTGTGTTAAGGCAGGTGTTCGGGAAGTCTCTTGGCTTCTTCAAACATTATCACAAGATATCCAGAAGTGTTATACAGACACGGCTCTCCAGAGCTGCTGGTTTTTAAATACATCAAATGTGTATTTGTATCATACTAATCACAACAGCACTGTTACTTCACATCATAATTTACCTGATTTTTGTTTGGATTCTCCATGAAAACACACTGCTTCATTATGTAGGAGACAACTGCATTCCCCCCTAGAGCTGCAACGTGAGCTCTCACCATTGCAAACACTTCAGCAATAAAAGCATGGAGAAAACCACTGACACCACCCTCCTAAAATGGAAAAAAAATATATTACATGTTATGTTAGGTCTAGATACAAGATGCTGAATACTTTTCTTAAATATTTATAAGCTGAATATTTCAGTGCATCCTAAATGGTGTATTGCAGAGAAGTTAAAAGCTATTCACTGTTTAGCTGGTCACAGTTAAAGATCAGATGGAGAGAACTATTTAAAAGAGCCTGGAGTGACAGGACAAGGGGGAATAGCTTCACACTCTGACAAAGAGTAGATCAGATATTAGGAAGAAATTCATCCCAGAGAAGGTGTGGGTGCCCCATCCCTGGTTGGATGTGGCTTTGAGAAACCTGGTCTAGTGGAAGGTCTCCCTGCCCAGGCCAGGGGGTTGAAACTAAATGATCTTTAGTATCCAACCAAATCCAAACCATTCTGTGATTCTATGAACTTACTGTCTGAGGAAAAGCATGACAAGTAGGTTATTCATTTGTGACTCATTCTCTGCAGTCAGTATATTACATATACTCATGCTTTTCAGACATTCCTACACCTCTGCAGGAACATTTAACATTCCAATGACAGTTCAATAACAACTTTATTCTTTCATCAGGAAGGATACTGCCTTTTTTTTTTTTTTGATAACTGGAAATCAAATAAAGAATAATTCATACTGAGGATTAAAAAGATTTAGACTTACTGGAAATTACCAGTAAGGAGTGGCCATTACCTCTGATCACTCCAACTTCATGTATGTTAATGACTGTCATTAGTTCTCAACACTCAGTAAAGAAATGATCCTTCAAAATAAAAAGTAAGCAAGGGACAGAGCAGAGACTTGAGCTATTCAAGCTATTTATTTATTTTATTTTCCTCCTTGAAGCCCAAAGGAACTTCTAGCCATCCCATTTCATTAATTTTTTTGACTTGATGGTGCTTGTGGGGAATTTTTACTTCTTTGGTGCCAAGTTGAATAATTTAAAATGAAAGAAAATTTAAAGTGAAAGGAGAAGAAAAACAACAAAGTATGGACTTTCCTAGATAACCCTTATGAAAGAATGTGAACAACTACACAGTTAGGAAAGACATACACCAACCAGGTAACCAACCAAAAAAATAAAAATCCACAGAAAAAAAAATTACGAAAATGAACTGATCAAACAGAGCTCACTATTGGTTCAAAATATCTGTAAAATTTCAAAATGAAAGGCAAGACCACCAAGACTTCCCACATGTGTGTGTGTGTCTCTGGTGAAAATGAAAGAGGCAGGCAGAAGAGGAGATTGAACTAAGCTGAACTTATATGGGCTGTACTCATATCTACTGGAAGAAGTATAATCTACCTTGAACAGATTCATAAAGACATTAAAAAAACATATTCTGGATGAACATTTATAAGCAAAAGGGCAAGTATAACTTTATCAATCCTAGCATAAAGCAGGAATGAAGTCAACTGCAGACAAAAATCAAAATTCAATGCAAGTTTATCGTTCTCATGAAATTTTGATTTTTTCTAATTTTTTAACAGTTACAGCGACCGATAGGGTAAAAAATACATTACGAGCCTAATACAAAGTTTAATGACAGCAAGTAACAAAAAGATTAAAAATACCCACCTGTAAACAGCAAAACCTAAAATTATTGGATCAATCAGACTTTAAATTATCATTCATTTTTGATTCTGGTACACATTTCAGCCTATGAAAGCATTCACAGGGCCTCAATATTCTGTAAGCAATAACAACAGAAATGCTGCTAATTACCTTCCTGTGGAACCTGAAACACATTGCTGGAGTTGGATATAACAAGTGCTCTGTTCTGACTCTGTTACAGCCTCAGGGCAATACTGTGCAACCAGTGTTACGAATAGTTTGTACCACAGCCTGTGTAGCTGAAGCAATTTAAATGAGCTGCCCTGGGTGCTGGAAACAGCACACTGACAGTATCCCAGAGACTGTACAACTGTCCCAACTTCATGGAGGAGCTGAATCAAATTCTTGAGCAACCCATCTGTGTTGGGATCTGGTATCACAGTTACCAAAGCTGCTTATCAGCTACTGAACTTGTATCTACAGAAGCTGCACTTCATATAGAAACGTCACATAACCATTTCCCTGCTCTGACCATACAACCTTTTGAAAATACTGTCCTTTTCACACATACATTTCCCAAGTTAAAAGGGGCCGTAACTTGCAAAATCCAAACAAAAGTTTGTCTGACCAAAATTTCTCTAGAGAGCTCACAGCTCCTTCTCATGAAGGCTGATCAGCTTTATTAGCATCTGCTCTCTGATTTTATCCATGTGTAATCATTAAGAAACAGCACTCCCTTCAGCACTGACAAACCAGGCAAGAGGTACTTGTGGCCAAAAGCAGAAAGATGCAGCTACTTCCCCCAAAGGACATGAAAATGATAAGGAACATGGCTTGCATTTTGGCATCCTCAGAGGATTATTTGTTTTCCAGACCCAGACTGGAGATCACTGTTTGAGTATCACTGGCTACACCTGTAACCTGGTTGTGTGGTTATAGACTCCATGGCATACTTTTTGACATTCATCACACAGAGGTTTTTTACAGAGAATGCATGGAGTGCAATGGTAAAAATCAGCACAACAGTTACCTACAACATGAGTAACCTTGTGTTAACCAAAGAATTTTAAAATCCAAGTACGCTGTGAAAGTTAATCATTGAGCTTGCTAAAAGAGAGAAGAATGGATGATTTGGTCTGGTGGTAGGGGTTTGGAACTAGATGATCTTTAAGGTCCCTTCCAACCCAGGCCATTCTGTGATTCTATGAATTTATTTCTTTTAGCATTTAACTTAATCTCTGGTTTGGGTTCAAATGATCCCAACTATCACTTTGGTCAAAAGATCCATTTTTTCCATACAGTTCTGTCTAGGAACTCATTGGTTTAGTATTATATCCAACTGAACAGCAATGGCAATGGTTAGTAACCCTTTCCTAACGTTGCCAAACATGAAGCAGCTCTGTGTGTTCTCCAACAAGAACAGTGCAATGGAACTTACTCCCCACTCAGCACGTGCCCTCAAGTGACACAAATCCTGCTCCCTGGCTGTGCCATACTCCAACTCAAAACTCTTCACTTCGATTATTACAATTAACAAAAAAATGCTAATCCCTGGGCACACAGCTCACCTCACGCAAAGAAGTGGTTTCTCGTATAAAAAACATGTTGATTATCCCAAGGTATTTGGTTATTTTAGCCCCAGGTAGAAAAGAAAGAGGTGTCATCTTAACAACTGAGACGGTGGAATTGGTGCACGACGGAACAGAACGGTGCCGTAAGTATCCCTCAGCCAGTGGACTTGCTTTATCAAGTGAAGCAGCTGAAAAGATGGGGAAAAAAACAGGAGAAAGTAACTATCAGGATCGACCACCGCTGCCCAAAACACAAAAAACTCTTCTTTATGGTTTCCAAATAGCTTGGTGACAACATTCAGCTGCCTGTGATGCTCAGCCATACCACGTGAGAAAGGAAAATCATCATGCAAAGCATGCAAAAGGAGACAAAAAGCTGAAATGGCATTTATTTGGGAGAGTGGCATTCCTGCAAAGGAAAACATTGAGGCGAGCAGCTGCACGTACAACAATCAGTTATAAAGTGAAGGTAAAGAAAAAAGTGCCAACATTTTGAAATACGTATTCTGCTGGAGGAACAAATTACAGGAAGTGTGAAAGTTGTTGTGTTTCCCCAGTGCAGCATTTTCCATTAAAACAGGTATTAATCTCTGCTAATTTAAGCAAGATAGTCAGACCTGTGGCCAAAGAACTACTAAAAAACAACTCACCACTTGCTAATTTAGTGACCATTGCCTTGACTGTCACCTTGGTGATTGCTTCCTGTTTCTCACCCCAAATTTTCCAAGACCATACATACACCTACATCCATGCAGTGTATGTTACACAATTAGTAGGCGTACACATTTATCGAGAGCTAATTTTAACTAAGTGAACAGAAATGCTAGATTTGGCTTTTTATGCTACTGGTTCATAAACCCTACGGGAGCTTACAGAGACGTCAACAATGTCGGCAGTTTTCACACTCAGAATTCATTCTACACGCGATCTGCAATGCTACTGCTGGGCAGGGAACTCCACTAGTCACCACTGGGAAATCAGAGATATGTCTCAGATTATCATAACGTGGTAGAAACAGCCGCCTACTTGTCTTAATTGATCCGCGCCTTATGGTCTGAGCTTTCAGTTTAATGAGCTCTATCCAGTTGTTGCATCTGTCTGCAAAGGAACTGTAATCAACTGACGTTGCTGAAAACACAGACAGAAAAACAAAAGAAAAAAAAAAACAGAAAAAAAATATGGATGATGTCTCTTGCTCATCTCAATGCTCCTTTTGAGGAAGCAATTACTGAGAGAGAACAACCATCCCTTTTCAGGTCTGTTTAAAGGAAAAGTTACAGTAGAGGTTTGGACTTGTCCAAACCAGTATACCGATTTCTGGTGATGTCCCAGCTCTGAACCAACTGCCTGACTGGGACTTCATCACTGAAAAAACATGCAAATACAGTCATTAACGACTTATGTTAGATTAGGTTTTTTTTAATCTCAGTTTAGGTATTAAGTTCTGGCTTCTTTAACTTTATTTTAAGCCTTTTTTAATTTCAATTTTCATTGCTGTTCTTTTCCTCACAAAGAGCTGCTGGTCATAATTTAAACTTCCCAACTGTCTTTATCAATAACTAACCTACAGACTGAAAAAAAAGCTTTGGTGATGAGGATAAGAGTCACAAGCTGAAACAACACCTCGGTTTTAAACACAAATGAATTCTTACAAAACGCTGTCTTCTTGCCCCAACATCCTCCCTCCAACACCCCCTCCCATTATCATTACAATAAGAAGTAAGAGTTGTTTCTGCTATGACTTTTTGGTATTAGTTGCAGGAGTGTTTGCATATCTTTAAAAAAAAAAAAGGGTTTGCAAACACCGTTTCTTCATTACCCTGAAGAAACGGAAGGAACACATGCTAACTTCAAATTAAGACAAGCAAAACAGCTCTTTCAGGGAAATCATTTTCTGTCAGATAAAGTGGTATTCAATATATCTGACAGAGGGACACTTATTATTAACAAATCTGACTTTTGTCATTAAAAAACACATCAAAATATTACGATATCATTAAGCCACACCAGAGCATGCATTCTCAGTTAACTAGTAAACGCTTCCTGGATTAAGACACATCCAAAAAGAGTATACCAATATCCCAAGAATGCTCTTTCCGTGCTGGCATACAGCTAAATAAAGTAAACTCACCTCTCTGAGCAGCAGGAATACCTGTGTGGGAGCTTGCACCCTCCAAGGTTTCTAATAAGACAAAATTAAGTCCATTCAGAGAATATATTAAGCAGAGTCACACAGTACAGGACAGCAGCTTTCAAGAAAGATAGAGAGAGACTATTTACAAGGGCATGCAATGACAGGACAAGGGCAAATGGCTTCAAACTGGAATAGAGTAGGTTTAGATTAGATATTAGGAAAAAATCTTTCCTGTGAGAGCAGTGAGACACTGGTACAGGTTGCCCAGAGAAGTTGTGGTTGCCCCATCCCTGGAAGTGTTCAAGCCCAGGTTAGATGAGGCTCTGAGCAACCTGGTCTAGTGAAAGGTGTCCCTGCCCATGGCAGGGGGTTGGAACTGGATGAGCCTTAAGGTCCCTTCCAACCCAAACAATTCTGTGATTCTTATAAAAAAAATTACAGTACAAAATAAAAAACCACCCCGTCTATATAGTATCCTATGTGCTTTGATAGGGACAGAATTACTATAAACAATTAACTTTACCAAATCTATCTTGTAATTTTAATATGATTATTTATTAAAATTCATTATTGTATAAGGTTGTACACAAATATTTCTAAAATAACAATCCCACAGAAAAGTAGCAATATATTAAATAAGCTGCTAAGTAAATGTAACTATAATGAAAGCTCGACTCTAGATGTGAAGAAATGACAGATGGAATAGTTATCCAGCTGAAAAGCTCTAAGGCTGTGTACAGCACGATATGGAATGTGAAGAACATCAGGAAAAGGGATACATGGAAACAGGCTGCCCTCCACTGGTCAGTGCCCAGTACACAGGTAACACAGTTCACTAACAGGGACAGATACTCTCCAGTGTCTGGATATTTCTGGATAGCTCCTCTTTTTGAAAATAAAAGGTCAACAGTATCACAATGTGACCAATTAAAAGCTAAGCCCATGCAAATGCCTTAAAAAAATTGCAAAGCAACGAGAATATTATTGCTGAAATTAATATGACCTCTGAAAGTACATGTAAATGTGACAGGTACCTTTCTTTATACAACTGATGTAATGGGCAAAGAAAAGGAGCTCTTGAACATCTTAGTAAAAAAAGATTTACAGTAATTCACAGATACTAAATTTCCTTTTAGGAGCTATTTTGGTGAGTAGACAATCCAACAGTGGAGAAGGAAGTAAATATGGCTGATTTCAGTGAATGACCACCTGATTTTTCATGCAGCTGTAAAAAAAACTGTGACAACCGTTCTTGAAATGTTGCTCTATCTCAGGTAAAACAAAGCAGCTGTTTAACAGCTGAAGTGTGCTGCACTGTACAAATTATTAACTATACAAGTTTAGGCTCCTTTCACTTAAAAAAAAAAAAAAAAATCAGCATGCAACCAGTACTTGCTAAATAAAGTATTCCCCACCATGAAAACAATCACATTAATTATCGGAGGCAGAGAAGACAGATGTACTTTCCATGGGCCATTTACAGAAGCAAAGCAGTATGCAGCAAGCCTAATTATTAGGTAATTTATAACTAAGTCAAAAGACAGCAAACACCCAGTGGTTTGTAGCATTTTCAATACCCTAAGTGGAAAGATAGAACTGCTACAGGAAATCTATAAAAAACCCAATAGAATTATTAGCCAACCCATCCTATTCGAGTCAAAAAATTTGACTTCAAAAGTAAATATACCCATTATGCTTAGGTAGCAAAGAATATTTAAAGCATGTGAAAGTACAGCTATTTTAAAGCCATAGCAATCATGAAAGATCAGAACCCAAAAATCAATTAAAAACAATAGTTTAACATTCCTCCACTTAACTGACCTTTAGCTGGAGAGAATGGTTGAGAAGCAAGCGGATCAGAGCAAAGTTCCAATGGAAATTGTAGCTGTTCTTCATTATCTGTAGATGCTTCAACAATGAAAATATTCCCAATTGATAATTAACCCCCAAAATAAGATTTGCAACTAATAATTAGCAGATTCAATTTAGTCAGGTCTGACTGGAACAGATTTTTTCAGCATATGCAAATAGTTATGCAGTTCTGTAGGGACAGTTAGGTGTCTGACAATAAATCCAGCTGCAACACTGAACAGAACCTGTGTTCCATTGAACAGGATTTGATTTAGTATTTTTAGGAAAAAATACCAAGTCAATTCATGCATCTTAGTTTTGATTCTGCAGTTGGATATATGTCAGCTAAACATTACAGTAAAAATTAACATTTGGATTTATTTCACATGAAAGAAAACAATATGCTGAAGAAGTCAGCTATAACTAATGTTTTAGAAGCATATGGCTCTGTCCACTACCTAATTCCATTCCTCAGAATCTAGCATCTTTAAAATTTTGTCTGAATTCCCATTTCCAGATTGCATATATACATTTCTAGCATAAGATGGTGCTTCATTAGCAAGATGACATATGCAGATTATAGTAGTCTCTTCTACTCCCTCCATATTCCATATGCTTCACTGATCTCCAAAACCATTACTGACCTGCTTAAGGGTTTTCAGAAGGTTTTTTTCTTTAAGTATTATGAATAATTTATTTTCTACTTTCTTGAAGTAAGGGCAAAATTTGGTGCCTATAAGAACAAATATTCTCTGATGACTTACACCACATGTTTCAAAATACAATGGAAATGTTACACTGATTCTTTAGTTAAAATTAATCCAAGAAATATGGTAGATGGAATAAGGAAATACCAAATTTTATCTTTGTGTTACTGTAAGTAAAGCAAATATCTAATAGTTGATAAGTCATCCTGCTGGAGGTACATACATGAACTCTAAAAAACCCTCTATGTTTTGAAAGAACCTCCCTGTAAAACTACTTATATGTAACTGAAATTAAAATGCAGACTCATTAAGTACTGGGGGGAAAAAAAAGAAAGAAAAATACTATCTCTTTTCTTTATATGCCTCACAATATTTACCTCTTTGTTGGGACTTTTCTGTAGGGGCTTTGTTGGCTTGTAACGCTTGGTTTTTGTCATATGTAATTGCAACAGCTGTGACTGCAATCTGCAAATCAAAAATAGCCTATTAGGTAACTTAATATCTTGTGCAGTCTGCAAAAATAATTTTGAAAACAAGCAGCTTTTTGCACAGAAACAGAATACAGGGGGGAAAAAAAATCATCTGAGCATACCCATTAAAACCCTCAACAGCAGAGCCTAAAAGGTAATAGTAAGGTCTGTTGTTAGATCATATGTCTGACAGTGTTTGTCCCACATTTGTGGATTTATTCATCAGTTCTTTCCTTTTTCTTGGTGAACAGACATTAAAAAATATCACTGAAATTCATTATCATAGTATTTGTAAGAGAAAATGGTGTTTCACTGAACAAGAATGATGCTATACTTCTAAGAAAAACCAAACCATTTTGTCTAAAAATAATGAAAATACAACACATCATCTTGAAATGGCAAGGAAAAAAAATGAGACAATTACAATGACAGCAACAGGCAGAAAGTGATGCACAGGAAGTTCCACCTGAACATGAGGAAGAACTTCTCTCTTGTGCAATAGAACAGGCTGCCCAGAGAGGGTGTGGAGTCTTCCTCACTGGGGATATTTCAGAACTGTCTGGACACAATCCTGTGCCATGTGCTCCGGGGATGATTCTGCTTGAGCAGGGAGATGGGACCAAAACTGGTGAACTCAAGGACATAACGTTCAGTGAAGAAAAAGAATGAACTGTTGAGTTTTACTTCCAAATTCACCAGACATACAAATAAATCAAATCATAGCCCAGTTCACTCTGAGCAGCAAACACCAATTAAAGGCCCAGACTGCCATGCCTACATGCTGAAAGTCAAAAGCAGCAGTTCACTCACCTGAACTAATTCATCCTCTGGTAGAGCAACTGTGAAGTTTACATGGCAAAGACAGCAGGGAACCATAGATCGGAGTTTAAAATACAGGCTCTGTTGAAGACAAGATATTTGTGTTACTCAAAAAACAAATCTATGGTTTATTGCAGAGAAATTAAGAATCAAAACTCTTTTCATAGGAGAAGTTGTGTAATCATATGTCTAGTTGACATGGTGTGTGGTCAAAGGTTGGACTCAAATCTCAGGGATCTTTTCCAACCTATTTGCCTCTGTGATTCTGTATTAATTTTTTCTTGAAGAATTACATGTGTGAAAAGTCAGGACAGAATGCCAGGACTCTTTAAAAAAAAAAAATTCAAAAAGCTTTGGAAATCCTTAATATACTAAAAAGGCTGAATTTAGTTCTAGAGCAACTTACAAACTAATTACAGACACTCTGCAGTCTAATTTCAAAAAGTAATTATGAAAAATGTATAGCATAATTCAGTATAGCATAATTTTACTTTGCTTCCATTTGAACAATTAAAAATATTTAAAATAAGATTCTTACCTTCAACAGATTCTCACAGAGATCATTAAAGTTCTTATTAAGTGTTTGATTTGTTGGATTAATGTTGCTTAATCTGGATACTCTTACTGCTGTGAACATCTGAATTAGAAACAAGCACACATTTTTTTTTTTGCCAATATGAGGAAATATATTTTATCCAATATATTAAAACCAAAACAAATTCATAAAGAAGGAAAATAATGCATAACGTTATCATACTCAGTACCTTGTGCTAAGTAACATAGCCAACAATCTGTTTTAGAGGCTTCAAAATCTAGCCAAGATCTTAATGAAGTCTAAAATCTTGAAGTTCATATTTACTGTAATTACTTTTGTATTAGGTTCTCTGTTAAACAACAGCACTGAAAAAAACCTGAAAAAACAGGTTCTCATACCCTGTTTTTCTTACCAAAACACTACTTTTATTTTCAACCTAAGGGTATCCTTTTAATTTATCTTTGAAAAGTAGTGCTCTCGAATAGATATTTAAATTACTAGAGCATATTTCAACACAATTAGCAAAAAGTTTCAATTTTCTTTGAATAAATAACCTTACTTGAATTTCCGGTGTCCAGTTATTTATACCAGGCATAATTTCCGTGTTGCAACTGTAAAAACCTGTGAAGAAAATATTTGGGAAAGTCTATTTTATACACTGACATATAAAAATACTTCTAAAGAAACATGTGACCTTAATGTTTTGCAAGTATTTTCCCTCATGTAGTTTTGAATATTGAATAACACACCAGAAATGAGACTGACATTCAAAAAACAAATGTAGTATTCTTGAAGGGAGAGCAAACACCCAAAATCCACAACTGCTCCACCTAATTTCTAATAGATAAACCATGTACAAATGAGGAAATTTATTAACAAGGTGTGAAAGGAAAAGCTGAAAAGCCAACCTTTGACAGACAGCATAAAGATGCTGTAAAGAAACTACCTAGAGACTGAGTGCAAATAAACAGCACTTAAAAAAAATAACTAATCAGCAAAGTAAGAAAAGTTATAAACAGCAAATAGGCAATGCTGAAAGTCTGAAGATATAGTTAAATAAGCAGAAAAGAGGCCCATCTGGTAGAGCCAATATAAAAGCAAAAAATAAGCTAGAAAAGAAATTGTGTAGCAGCTTGAAGAAGATATAAATATTAATAGATTTTCTTTCAGAACATCAAAAGCAGAAATTATATGAAAGAATCAAGTAAGATATGGAAAAAATATGAAGAGATGATAACACAAGAGCAGAAAACATGTCCCCTTTTTTTTTTACATCAGTGTTCACCACTGATGTAAGTAGAGCTTTCCACAATAGTGGAAAACCAGTCTCATGTTTATTTTCCATCAGAGAATCCATCTTAGAGATGTGTCTGAAGGAGACAAGTGGGCAAATGAAAAATAAAGATTCATATAAACAAGAGAAAAGGCAAAAAAAATCTAACAGCTGACTAAATGGCATTGAGCTCTTAACTTAAACTTGCTCCATTCCCAGAGGAGAGGGTTCTTTAATCTTCAAGTAGTGAGGAGCTCTTACTGACTGGGATCTACTAATTATTTGCCTAATAACAGATATCTATTTTACTGGCCCACAGCAGCTATTCCAGAAAAGGGAGTTAATGGGCAGAAGGAAAAACAAGACACTGCAGAGGAGCTGAGAAGGCTTTCCTAAGGAACAGTCATGGCTCACAAGCTCTCAAGAAGCATATAGACAAAAGATCTCTGACTGAACCAGCCTGCTTGGGACACCAGAAAGCACATGGTAAGTTCCTTCACCAAGGACCTCCTACCAAACTAAAAGAATGAAGTGTCATTGAAGGAAATGCAATTATTATAAGACTTAAAAAAGAGAGACAAAATAAACTCTCCATTTTCACAGTAGAGATATCTGTAACTCAGGATTTTATGCTTCAAGCATATTCATAACTTATCTGCAAAAGAGGATAAAATGAGATGACTGCTGGTGGCCTTATTTTAGGGTAGTAAATTCAACTGCAGCAGGACAATGGATTATCAATGAGGAATAAAAGATTTGGTGGTAATAATAGATAACTATGACAAGGATGGTTCTGAGCTCAACAGGACTTAAAATTATAAACACTTATACCAGTTATTAGAAAGGAAACGGTTTCTTGCTCAGGAGAAACATGGGGAAACTCACAATGACAACAAGGAGGACAAGGACAACCCAATGTCCAGAGCAATTTCCATATAATGGACAACTACATTAACCTCTTCTCCACATCCAGAAGTTCCATCAGGGAGGGTATGACAGAAATGTATACATCCACAAATAGCATAAAGATGATTGATATATGGCAATAATTAGTTTTCTGTTCTACTTTAATTGATTTGAAACCTAAAAATTAGTCAGTCAGTCCAAAAATCTTCAGAAACAGTAATATTTTCAGTTCTTGTGGCATTTTTAAAAATAACTTTTAATAAAACTAGTTCCAGTTTTTCCTTTTCTACTATAAAGTAGAAAAACAAGGTTTAAACTATACCAGAAGGTGGTGGAACATCTGTCAGTAAAGAATGTACGTCTTCCATTGCATCTGTATCATCAATCTGTAAAAAGGAATAATTGATGAAAATCACATTGCTGTGCCAGTAAGAAGTCTCAGAAAGATGTAAATATTCTATCATCAAAAGATCTATATCTGGCAGCTTGGCTGAGATTTTTGAAACAGATTCTATGAACCAGACCTCTGAATCTTAACTAGCAGCCTATGATATGCTTAACACTCAAAAAATAGTTCCCTTAATTAGACTGTATAAAGCTATGTGCACAGAATACATAGAAAAGTGCAGTAGATAATAATATAAAGAGACTTTATAAAACAATTTAAAATACTTAACAAGGTTCCACATAATAACTCACAGCTTTTTCCAGCTAAGCTGTATTACACTGATGTGATTATTCTTTGCCTGTCCTAAAGACACATGAAAATCTTCCCAGCATTTTAAAACCTTCCTTAGAAAGAACAGCAGAAAATGAAATGGGAAAAGGTGAATTTTGGGACTATTATTTTTTCCAATCCAAATAACCTCTAGTTCATCCAACCTTATTTTAGATCAGACTGCTACGTGCCCTGCTACCTTCTGTAAATATTCCTGTCATGTGTCTTTAGGTTTATTCTGCCTTATTGATCTGCAAGAGATCCAAGTTTAACCTCTGACTTCTAACATTTTCTTGCAAGTATTTTGGAAATCATTTAACTCCAGTATTAAAAGGTTTTCTGTCAGGTATTGTTTCTCCTTGTCCCTCTCCAAGTAAGAGGGTTTTGTCTTTTTTTTTTCTTTTTTTCCTCAAAAACTCCCAAAAACCCCCAAATAATAAAAAAACCCAGACAGCTTTACTTGTCACAATTGCCTTCCCAGGACCTCTTAGCATTTCCTCATCACAGTGAACTTTTTCTTACATATTTCCAGTGAACAATGATTTTACTCTTCAAAGGTCAGTCAGGAGCCTAATTAAAGCTTCTGAAATATTGTTTCTGACATGCAATCTCTTAACAAAGGCAGTAGTAAATGATTTCACAGGTAAAAAAGTCTTTTTTTTCTATAAAGACTGAACTACCAAAACACAGGGATGTATATTCTAGGACCAACATATTCCTTGAACATCAGATCTTATTTTTCTTGCTAGCATTAGCACTACTTTTATGCACTCTATAGTACACTACAGTGTACTTAGATTTTTTTCCCTTCCATATGGGGATCTAGAGCCCATACTGGAGTTAATAAGGCAGAAGGAAGAATTCTCCAAAACTGTAGAAAAAGAGCTGAACTCTGCTTGTTGTATATAATCATAGAATGGTTTGGGTTGGAAGGAACCTTAAAAGTTCCCCTGTTCCAACCCCCCTTAAACAGCTGATCTTTGGTATAATGTATCACACCTCATGAGGCAACTGGACAGAAAAAGTATGCTGAGTTTTTGTTATCACTGCCTGTCTTCTATTTGACAGCCTTTACAAGAGAAATGAAGGCTGGGCTTATGTTTTTTTCGAGTATTTAGTAGTCTTTAGGTTGTTTTTTGGGTTTTTTTGTTTGTTTGTTTTTTAATGCCTTACAAAATCCTCTATTTTTCACAAAGGCATTCAACCCCTTTTGCATTTAGCAAAGTATTTTCTGATTTTCAATCAGAAATTTTCAATCTTCTGCCTCAGAGAGCATCAATCATAACTTTTGTTTTGAGGAAACAATTCTGCTCCTGTCAGATTAAAATCAAAACCCTGTTAAGACCAGCTGCAAAAAACACTTGCTGAAAACTGTCCTCTTCCCTTTTTACTTTGAGAGTTAACTGGCACCAAAGTTACTTTTAGGGACTTCCCAGTTTACTTTGTAATGCACTGGAAAACCAAAGAAGAGCAGAAGCACAAAGCTATCTGAATTTATTATACCAAACTCTCCCAACCTGTTATTTTTCCACTCTCTTTTTATACCTCTGTTTTCAAATGAACTGCTGTTACAGCACTCTCTTATTCTCCCTATCTACAACTTTTCATCCAGATTACTTTCTATGAAGATGGTGATTTGTGAAGATTAACAGTCTTGAATGTATCTTAGGCTGCAATTACAGGCTGTAATTTAAAGTGTTTTCTTAGCCAGGGACAGGTATTTGTAATACCTGTATCTACAGGATGATCAAAACTCTAGCCCTTCTTTAATACTTGCCTACTTTCCTTCAAAACTGTACAATGTTAAAATCACATCTTTGAATTTTAGTGAATAGAGAAGTTCTTTATCTACAGGTGTTTTTCTTTTTTCTAATTGTAACTGTAGAAAGAATTGGAAGGTGTTGTTGGAAGCTATGAATTCTTTAACTGTGAAGAGCATCAGCTGAAATTCAGAAAAGCAAGTCTTCTTTTATTTGCTCTCTTGACACATGCAGTTTTTTGAATGCTTTTAATACCACCAGTTCTGGAAACTAATTATTCTGAATATTCAGCTATAACAATAAGAGCTTTGAAGGCGGAAGAATATACAAGCTTTTTTTTTCTTTTTTGCTAAATTGGGACAACACAGAACCTCAATGTTTATAAAAATATACTTAAGTTTTTGATCAGTGTGATCTGCTGCTTGAAGCAGGCAGAAGGGCATTTCTTAACGGCTCTTAATTATTATTCTAGATATTGCTACATGTCCATGAACAGCAGGGCAATCTTTTTTCAGATACTGTCCCTAGGCATAATACAGCTGTGCTTTAAGTGAACAGAAAAAGAAAGACAAAGCAAAATCCAATATTTGACAATTTCTACTGATACAAAACGGAAAAAAAATTACACAATTTAAGAAGTGTCCTTGGAGACGAGTAAGAAAACTGGTGGTTTGAATTTCAAAACCACCACAAAAACTTCTCTCAGTTTTTTTTTAATATATATTTGAGGAGAAGAAAAGTATGAACATGAGTACTGAAAACGTTTAATCACCTCCAAGACAAAAGCATCCTTTTTCCCATGTGAAAGGTCAAGCTCTGTAACTTCATCAGAGCTTTCTGACTGGGATCTTAATAGCCTGGAACGTTGTCTTGGCTCTGGAATGGGAGACCCTATGATTTCTTCAGGTAGTTCCTAAAAAGGATATAAGAATTAGCAGATGTACTACATAGCTTAGAAATAATTTCAATCAGAAACAACTTGTTAACAGTTTTAAGAATCGGAACACTCTGAAAATAATTTTACTGTGAAATAAATCTAAATAAGTACAAACTGATTTAGAATTACAGAATCACAGAACAGAATATCCTGAGTTGGAAGGGACAGGTTACCAGCACAGGTCACTATTGTAAGCTTCTTATTTAAATTATGCCTGTACTCATCTTGAAAAATCTCGAAGATTGAGATAGTGTATGAAAGTTCCTAGCTGAGTAAAAAGTGCTAGGGATTTCATCCAAGCCAAGGCTGAGACCGAATTCTTTTTAACATAAAAACCCCACATAATATGACACAGATCTGTGAAACAGCCTGGCTCACTCCCAGAAGTTACAGATTTCTTCAGGGTTCTTTTGGCTATGGGGCTGAAGAGATCTGAAAAATCCAGTAGCTTCCCAAAATACAGCTAAAAAGATCTATATCTCTATTATAAGGAAACTTATGTTCAATGATTCAGTCGCTAAGGAGTCATGGATATACACCGTGTGTATGTTTGATTCAGATTGTTTTATTTTTAAGAATGAAAGATTTACTTACTGGAGGATTAATCTCATAAAGTTCCTTGTTTTTTGCTATCGTGTCATTTATTTTCTTTTGCATATGAGATATGTGCTGCTCATAGGTGCCATCATTTGGAGTCTTCCCAGCAATCTGAATACCCCCAGGTGCTGGCAAAGCTGCTAGATAAACACCTGTTGCAGACTTTTAAAAAGTCATTAAGAAAAAAAGACAATTACATAAGGATGTACTGCTAACATCTGCAGATAAAGTTTTCCATAATGCTCGTGCTGTAACAGACAGCACTGTGACATGCACAGCACAGCCTCTTGCCACAATAAATGGATTTCTCTCTCCCATTCACTTATGAGGAAAAAAATCCCACTTATGAAAAAATCCCACTACTCTTTCGGTAAATTCTCTCCTTCTCATGGGATTTTTCCATAGTGGAGCACTTCACTTACCTAAAAATTCTGAAAAGACTAAAAATTAAAACCTCTGTCCCAGGATATTTTGCATAAGCAAGTGATGGTTTTGAGGATTTAAAACTTGACCCAAGCATTTATAGTGTCACTGAAATTGTGACAATCCTATTTCTATTTACAGAAAACAGATCACTGAAGACAAAAAGAACATACAAGCTTGTCAGTATTACCCAAACACCCTCTGATGCAGGAAGTAGCAGCACATTTCACTATTCTAACCCAACATGACAGAATGGGGTTAGAAAAATACTGTTAATGAACAATTCTTGACTCTAAGACACTTCCAATCTATCACTTATTTCTTCAGTGCCATCACAGAAGAGGCAACAAACCTTCCTCTCGTTGGCAACTAACCAGAAGATTTACTGAGACTAAATCGACCTTACTTGTCATGGAACTGTAATGCAATTTGAGAAACAGGGGCCTCTTTCACAGGACCTTTAAAGAACACAATCATTTTTCTGAAATTTATGCCATTAAACCATTTAAAATCTCTTTTCCTCTCATCCCCTTTCTAGTATTCTTGTCCCCTAACAAGGTTTCAAGAGATTTGCATCTTCCTTCTCTGCTGATGAAAGACAGTCTGCCCTGATTTGACAATAGTTAGACACCTTGTTCCTTTCCATCAGTTCATTTATTCTTAAAATGACATTTTAATATCTCTAGTCACTCCGAATTCCACAACTCTGCTATGTCTTCTTGAAAAAATACTGTAAGAAAGCCAAAGAATCTGAAGATTCAAACTGTACTTACTGCTAACCCCATTAGCATATTTTCCCCCACGGTGATCTGGATTCTCAGCCCAAACAGAGCATTCATTCCTCTCAGCTTCAGTTTATTCATCAGCTGTGTGTGCACTTCATATTCCATAAATGGCAGGAGGTTACTGATAGAGGTTGCATTTGCTTCAGCTTGAGCTTTCTTCTTCAGGCGGCATAACCTGAGAACACAGAGCAGCACGTGAGATCTGCAGGGATCAGCAGACACAGAGTCCTAATGGGCTAGTGAAGATTCAAAGTCATCACAGGGTGTTTTGAGTTCTTTCCTCATCGTGTAACTGAATACAATCAGTTTCTTTTTACTGTATTTTAAAATCCAGTAAAATACTACATTCTCATCAGGAAGATCAAGGCAGACTGAGGTACCGACTCTCAATAAGCAAGGTTTGATTTTTAATAGCAACTGTGTTATATTAAACTGCATTCTATTAGCATTTAAAATGGGTAACATAAAAAGTAAACTTATCAAACAGAACAATACATAACTTTCAGCAGCATTCAAAAATATTCCTTATCAAAGCAGATTATCAAGCACAAAAATTACAAATAATGTATTTTTTGCAAATCACTGAATGATACCTCATTTCTTAAAATATGCTTAAGGACTGTTATCAGACAGAATCAACACTCATCACACAGGGTTTCTGTCATAACAGTCTGACAGCATAGAATAAAGATGCAACATTAAGACCTTATCTACAGATTCCTGATAAGCATCTACTGAATGTTTGGCTAAACATATTAACACTCCTATTACATAGCAGCAACTCTTAAAAATTTGCCCTGATCATTACAAGGCAAATTCTGTAGACAAACACAGCTCTCCTGCTATTGCAAGTTGTCTGGTAGCTGTTAAACACCACCATTATACCTCCTCAAAAAAAATTATTTCAAGGGATAGTTCCTGCAGCCCTTTTCAATTAAGCCTCAGAACTGATGAGGTGTATTCTTTTGGATTGCTGCAAGTGTAAAACAAAATGCCAGTTCTTTACAAGAACTCCTTCAGACTGTGTAATCTGAAAACTTGTATTTTCAGCTCTGCTTTGAGTAAGGCCCCAAATGTAAACATTCATTTCTCTTGCTGCAAACCTCAAACACTTCAGGTACAAGCATAGGAAATTACATCTACTGGTAGAACTTTTAAAATTCCTATTAATACAGTTATTGAAGACACACACTGGAATAAAGAAGAACAGCCCCATCCAAGTGCCCTCACAGCTCAAGCATTAACCAGACTGAAAGTACTTATCTTGAAAGAATAAAAGAAAGAGTATAGCAATTCCATCTCTGGCTATATTATGTCACTCTTTGGGTTTAGTCCTACAGGCTGAAATTCAAAGCCCACACCAGGGATACTTTCAGAGAGAAATTTTGTTCGAAAGGAGCACATGCCAACTGTCCATTTTAGTGATACAAATGAGCAACGCTTTCTTCCATGGACCTCATTTGCTACATGATCAGGAAAACATACTAACTCACCAAACTGTAACAAGCTCATCTCAAAATAGCTTTCAGTTTTGTTGGGTTTTGGGGTTTTTTTTGAGCAATGGGAATGTTTTAAGAAATGAATTCTCGAGAAAATGACACATCTGCAAGTGCTCCAGAGACATATTGGGGACCACTGTTTAACACAAAGTAAATTTGCAAAATGGTGCTGAACACAGAGTTTAAATCATAGAATGGCCTGGGTTGGAAAGGACCTTAAAGATCATCCAGTTCCAACCCCCCTGCTGTGGACAGGGACACCTTCCACTAGACCAGGTTGCTCAGAGCCCCATCCAACCTGGATTTGAACATTTCCAGGACTGGGGCATCCACAACTTCTCTGGGCAACCTGTTCCAGTGTCTCACCACCCTCACATTAAAGAATTTCTTTCCAATACCCAATCTAAAGCTACTCTCTGTCAGTTTGAAGCCATTCTCCCCTGTCCTGTCACTCCAGGTCCTTGTAAATAGTCTCTCTCCATCTTTTTTGTAGGCTCCCTTCAGGTACTGGGAGGTCACCCCAAAGCTTTCTCTTCTCCAGGCTGAGCAATCCCAATTCTCTCAGCCTTTCTTCCCTCTCTCTAATCAACTTGGCCTCCTCTAGACCAGCTCCAACAGGTTCATATCCTTCCTGTGCCCCCAGAGTCAGATGCAGCACTGCAGGTGGGGTCTCACCAGAGCAGAGGGGCAGAATCACTCAGAGCTTTGGCCAGTCATGTCTTGAAAACGCCCCAAAGATGGAGGCTGCATAACCTCCAAGGCAATCTACCCCACTCCCTGACTGTCCTCATGGGTAAGTGGCTTTTCATGCACTCTGAATCTCTCTTGCTTCAATTGGGCCTCACTCTGCCACTGTGCAGACCCTGGCTACACATGCTCTATAACCTCCTTATAGATACTGGCAGGCTGTTATTAAGTGTCCCTAAATCCCTTCCCTCTCCAGACTGAACAAGTCCAGCACCTGCAGCTTCTCAGCATAGGACAGGTACTCCTTCCTCCCTTGCTGGCCCTCCAAACTTGCTCTATCATTTTCTGGTGTCTGTCCTACTCTCAGAGAAGGACAAAAATGAACAGGTACCGTATTGGCTGGTTGCACTCACTGTGGTATAACAGGCAAACTTGAAGAAAATGCAGTCCATCATCCCCTCCACATAATGAAGAGGTTCAACTGGACAGGTCTCACCACAGACTCTTATACTTGTCATGACCATCTAGGTAGGTTACAAAACATAAATCGCTACTCTCTCAGCCCAAACATCCAATCAGTTATTTATCCACATGGCTGGCCACCCATACAGATTGTACATAGCTGGTCCTTCCTTCTTTCCCACTTTTTTCCCTTTTCCAAAGTCAAAGACCACAGCATAAAACAGGACACAGCCAACAATTCCACAGAGATGATGTTCAGTTATGGACATCAGCATGGAATTAACACAACTGGCTGAAACAGTTCATTCAGGTGAACCTGCCTACAGCAAGGGAGTTGGAACTCAATGATCTTCAAGGTCCCCTTCCAACTCAAACAATTCTATGATGATTAAGTTTCCAGTGGAAGAGCTGTATCTAACCATTTTAGCAGTCCCAAACAGCAAGAGAAAGCATGAAAAAAGTTCACATCCAGGCAGAAAAAATGTAACAATCCTCACTGGCAATTAAAAACAAAAGCAGAACATTTAGCAAATGTTTATCAACATGGGTAAGTTCACAGATGTCCATCAACAGAGGTGACACAACATAGAGGGAGGAGTAGGCTGTCCTCCTCTTCCTTCTCCTGCTCCCTAATACCTAGCAATTCAACATAAAAATATGAAGTTTGATGACATACTGGATTTTAGCAACAGGAATTATTAGAAGGATCTCCAAAACTTTACTAAGGAAACATTTTGATAGATACCTGGCTTGAATAAGACATCCCTTCCCAATAACTATTGCTTCTACTGGAAGATCAATTGTGGTGAAAAGGACATCAGGAACTTTTTGCTTCCTGCAGTTGTAACAGTAAGTGAGGTGAGCAGGGAATGGCATGTTCAATTCATCATATGGTATATGGCAAAATCCACAACCTGGTGGTGAAGCTTCTTCAATCCTAAAAATACATTATGGAGAACATACTTAAAACATCTGCATCTTTTTAACAATGATCAGTAAGTGCATGTGTATAAACACTACAGACACCTACTTAAATTATACACTGCAGCTCTACTCTGCTCCATTATACCAATGTGATAAGTATTACATTATATGAATTAGAAGAACACAATTAGGTTAATTGATACTAGCTAAAACACTATAAATAAAACTTGCATTGAAAGTTGTTATGCAGAGATTGAGAAAAAGCACAACTTATATAAACCTAAAACATTACTGAGCTGCCTTTAGGCATAACTCCTAAATGTAGTCCATGGTACAACAGTTGGATGATGAATTTGCTGTACCAAACACGATGAAAAGTCTCTTTTACATTGACTGTGTCCAAAAACCTACACAAACTCAATGAGCAGAATATAAACAACAAACCAACCATCCTGAGAAGCAACACAATATATATTAACATTGTGAGAAGAAGAGCAAGATTATTTCCTAAGATAAGGTATTAGGTAAAACTTGTTATCCACTTAAAACACTTAGTCCCACTCCCACAAACAATACCCAGGAATGACCACCATAAAAATATGACCAAGGAAAGCACAGGCTAACTGCACCACTGCAGATTTATTCTGTTTCATATAAACAATTCTCAGTGATTTTGAAGAGGTGCTTAAGCAAATCTGAAAGATTTGGAACATTATTTATCATAAGACTTTGGCAAATATATTTTGTCTCAAGCATTAGCTTTGTCTGTTGTTTTACCTTTCTTTGGCATTTCTAGTCTATGCCAAGACTCTTAGTAGCACCAAAATACATATTTTGATAAAAGTACAATTTCCTTTATATTATAAACATGACACTTCTTTCGCTCCATCATACAGTGACTACAAAGACAACTATTTTTGTTCTGGCTACAATTTTTAAAAGTCTATCTACACTAGAAGATAATGACCAAGAAAGTAAAAGAATAATAAATAATACTACATTGGCTGGTTTATTATGAAAAAAGTAATGAGAATGCTAAAGTGTAATAAATAGCCTTGCTTACAGGCACAATAATCCCTTGAAATATTTAAACACTATCCTGATGAACACATAATAAGTTACCAGTATGCGTTAGTTAATTTAATTATTTTTTCCCCAAAGTAATTATTTGGCAGTACCCACTCTTAAATTTTATTTGCAAAAGCAGAAACAAATGGAAACTTCATGTTTGTCCTTCAGTTTCATGATTTTGTTCACAAACTTCAAATAAAACATTTTGTAATAATCTGGCACCATCTTTGTCTCACAACCAAGCTATTTTATCTCCCATGCAGCTCTTAAATAGTATATACAGAGCATATATACACATATTACAGCTACAGCTGCTTTTGGCTTATGTATTCCATCAAACATCTGTCATTTTTATAGTGTGATATAAAGTTGAGAAAGATACCTGAAGAGCAGCAAAGAAAAAAAACTGAGTTATGATCTGTGTTAGTAGTCAAATGTGTTACCTTATTCAGACTGTTAGAAATAAAAACAGAATATCTAATTTGGTGCAGAGTTCCATTACTTCTGTGGTTGTTGTTGTTAGTGAAAAGCAGTAAAGTGGTTGGTCCCGCATCCTGCACTGTAACACTGTAACCTACCCTAATAGAGAAGAACTATCTTGGCTCTGAGGAAAAAAATCAACCTCTCCCTTCTCTGACCCTATGGAAAAGAAGCCAGGCTGCCATGACAACCTTTGTTCCAAACAGCCTTCCATGGTGCCATCCTGAAGGAACCTAGGGTTCAGTACAGCTGCTGTGCCAGACGCGGACAAAATACAGACCTCTTCACTATAAGAGAAAAGAATGACAACAACGTGAATTCCTACTACTCAGTGATGATTTCTTCTAGAACTATTAGAGTAAAAGGCTGGTACAAAAGACTCCATGAATTTAATATTACTATTAATTTTGTACATTTGTGCAATTTTATCCATTCGATCTCACCAACTCTTCTGGCATTTAAACCATCATATAAACAAGAATGAGAAGAACTGAACTGAAAGACTAAAGAGCTTTGACCTATGTTATAAATAACAGAACAGAACAGGAAGGCTAACCAAGTTTAAGTATGGTTTTCAGTTCTATGGTTAACAATGGTTCTATGGTTAGCAAACCAACAAAAGCAAAGAAACACTAAAAAAAACCAAAAAACCAAAAACCAAAAACCAACCCAGAGTGTAATTGTTTACCAAAGTAAAATGGAAGCTGAGAGTCTCATCATCTTATGAACATTCAATTTTCAAAATGAAATTACAACACAACACTGACAAAGGTGTTTCTTGGAGGATAAGAAGTAGCAAAACAGTAAAAACTGTGTATGAACAACTAGAATAATGGCAAATATAGCATGTAAAGTAACTGATAATACTTATTATTTAGGAGTGTTAGAGCTCAAACTCAGATCTAAGAGTGTTAGATCACAGAGCTTTTAATATTTCTCAAATTGTTAAATAAGAAACAAACCTGTAATATTCAGTACTTAAAATAGTATATTAAAGAAGAATATGGAGAAAAGTTTCCCCACATTTCCTAGTATTATACATCTGCCTTTTTAATCTGTTGTTTCTCTTTCCAGAATAATTTTTCACACGTCTGGCAGACCAGTACTTACACACAGAGGCTTGTGCTTTAAGCATGGAATAAAGTTGAACTGGCAAATAAGCATGGGAACTCTAATAAACTATTTCATCAGTAACCAAATACTACCACACTAAATTCCTTAAAAAGAATGAAAGTGTGAAATAACCCAATAGCTGATTGCCTACCTACACTCTGTATACTCTTTCCCTGTAGCTTTTTACAATGAGATTGACAGCCAAAGGAATAAACTTTTCATTTTTTGCAAGTTCATCCCTCTGTGATGGAGTAATTCTGAGATAAATATGGTCTTTAATACACCAAGCAAGACAGGACATAACCAGACGAGACAACACAAGGAATACAAACCATGCCTTGTCTGTAAACTTCTTTTCTTTTTCTACTCTAAATGCAATTGACTTTCAAAAATTGTTTTCAAGTTTTGTGAAAGATGAATATATTCAGCAGTTGTTTTTTTTCTACCTGCAGCGAAGCAATACATGTGAAGGAGCAACAAATGTGAAGCAATTCATGTGGATTTCAGACAGATGCTGTGCTCTCACTAAAACACTGTGTAACTCTGTATTTCTTTCTTCAACTTTTCAACTGCAAAGTGAAAGTTTGTACGTGTGAAGGAGCAACAAATGTGAAGCAATTCATGTGGATTTCAGACAGATGCTGTGCTCTCACTAAAACACTGTGTAACTATTTCTTTCTTCAACTTTTCAACTACAAAGTGAAGTTTTCCAGCTCCTCTCTTTAAAAAAGCAAATCTTTAGTGTTTTTGTCTTTTAAAGTATTTAGGCAAAATCAGCTTGACAGAAAACAAATTCAGATGTCTGAATTTGCTTGTTCCTTTCATAAGGCAATTCAAAACAAATAGTGAACCTGAGTACTTTTGTTTTATACTACCAGATACCCTTGCCCAGGTAGCTCTTCACAGACGACTTTCCAGAGCTAGAAAGAGACTTTCCAGTGTCTCTAGGGGTCAGAGAGAAGGACAATTGGCTAGATAAACCCCAAATTATTTCTCCCAAATTCCAAGCCTCTCACAAAGTTTGTTATTAAGCCACTAAAATACATAAGACTGGAATTTTTCTTAGCCAAAGGAAACACAGTAAGACAATGGAGTTTTGGAATTCAATCTCACAAAGACTACTGCAGAGCTGCAGTTTAGTATGTTAAACACTGCTGTAGGTCTGAAAGACAAAAATAATGACACACATTTTCCAGAAAGAAATACAGAATATTTACACCTGAAATATTCTACATCTATCAGGCAGCATATTCTCCTTTAACTTACAATTGATGCATTACAAGTAAAAAATGCCTTAAATTTGAAGTTTGCCATTCAAGTACTGGTCTGCCAGTTGTTACCTAATAATGAAACTTCAATACATATACTTTTGGGGAGAGTCTTAATTATTTAGGCAGATTAGGCTTATAAAACTTTGTAGATAAATTAACATTGTTACTACAAAAGCAAATATGTAGGTTTTATTAAAAAAAAAAGTAATATAAAAAAGTAATAAAAACCCAAATCAAATGTTTTAAAAAAAGAAAAATCCAATACTGAAATCTCAAAGTCACTTAAACTCTCTGAAGTAGGTATACTAAACAGGTATAGTATAGTATAGTAGGTATATTAGGCAGTACCAACAACTGTGCAGAAAGAGTTAATTTTTAATCCACCAAAGATGCAATAACATTTTCTGTGGCATTTTGAAAATCAAATCATCATCATGATTTACCAAATGCTAGTTGATTCACTGTAGCCCACTACAGCATGACAACCCAATGCCTTGGCATGGGATTTTATTTCTTGTCTGATTTCTGCCCACCATGCATCTCGTGTCTCTGGTTCATCTGAAAGACAAAGTATAAATCAGTTCACTATTCTGCACGATGTCAACATAAAGTTTCATGCAATTAATCTGAAAAGTCAGATTTTTCATATTCAAGTATTTTGTTGTACCTGGTCACTTTTTATTTCCTAGCTATCACACTTCAACCAAACACTAATGGGACTTTTTCATTAATTTCCTTGTTTATCCCCCACGTGAACAGGTTCTGACAAGATGGATAACACCAAAATACTGTAGACACTGTTCCAATCTCTGCCTACTTGAAGACCACACTGTCAGCTTCCAACAACAGGTAACTTGCAATAAAGCATCACAGATACTCTGTCATACTGAAAAACTACTAACAGTAACAAAACAGTATTTGTTATAGTAAAGTAATATTTTATTTGGCTATACACTTGACGTCTTTGAAATAACCTCAATAGTTTTTCCCATTTCAAGTAGTTCTCTCTCTATTAACGAGATTTTAAAATAATTTGTTAAGACTGCATCACTAATCAAACAGACAGTTCTGTGGTACTTCTAACTTTGAGAAGAAATAGGGATTTGAAACTAATGTATATTTACAACATTAAGCAGTACAAGATATATGTTGACTATGCATTTGTTGGTGCTTTTTTTGCTTCAGTATCCTGGTAACTTCACCTTTCCCTGTCCCTGCCAACGGATTCTAATTACCTTTATTGTCCTGGAGGTTACATGTTAAATGTATCCTGTCTGCTTTTCTTGAGCACTACATTAAAAATATTTTTAAAGAGTGCTGCTAGAGTAAGTTCATGCAATCCATTTACTTTAACTGCTCAGCAATTAGTTCCCAGAACTAAAGCTCTTGTATCACAAATTTTTTTACTTATGAAGTCAACAAATATTGACATTTACAATTACAGTTTATCAGCTGTTTCTTCTATCAAAATAGCTTACCTGTACCAATGAATTTAGTTGAAAACTATGTTAATTGGATACACAAGGGGAAAACCAGTAACAAACAACAGGCACTCAGTTGCTACCAAGGGTTCTGAGTAGAGAGATTCTTATACAATTTCCCTGAAGTCAACTGAACTTTGCACAGATACAAACTTCCAGTCATTGATATCTCCTTGCTGAATCATAATTTACAATGTCAAGGTCAAAACCTGGGATTTATTTGGAACCAATTTTGTACTATCAGGAATATTTATCGTGTATGATAACCCCATATCATACACTAGGTTCTCTGACAACATGACAAAAAAAATGAAAGATGTAGATATACACATAACTTGAAATTTACTCAAACAAAAACATTGCACGGCAAGATGTACTCATTCATGAATTTGCCTCAATTTGCATTTAGAACTAGGCTTTCATCTTTCTAAAATAAACTAATGATCATTTTCTAATTAAAAGGAAGAGCACAGAGGTATGTATTTACATTCAACTACACATAACTTTAGATATCAATGTCGTGTAACTCACAGTATTGCACTGACTAACAGCAGCCTGGGTGCCCAGACTGAAGTTTATCCAACCTTTGCTTTAAGAAACGAATGCTGAACAGAAAAAAAACCTACAGTGAGTTCTTAGGAATGTTCTCTGCAATTGACAAAAATATACACATTAAGACACAAACCAAAGGGTTTCCATGAACTGATATGTTTCATTATATCAGAGATCACTTGAGCAGGTTTCAGTGCATTACTGGTAGAATCTCGAGATGCTGCACTTCACACTCTCAGTGTGAAATCACTGTTTAAACCCTTTCACTGACTGGGAATATCAAATGCTGGAGATGATACTCAGTAATCCTGACTTAGATGGCTCAACCACCTGCTGGCAAGGGCTCACACTTCAGCTTCCAAAACTGAGAATCACACAGAAATAACCCATCACATCACAGGGTTGGAGCTCCCAAGCTCAGCTCTGAGAACCATTTGTGGTACCCCAAATAGGAAGCAAAATATCTTCTCGTTGGTGTGTGCATCTCTGGACAGAGGTTGTTTCTGCTGCCACCAGGTAGCAGCAGTAGGGTTGGTTGAATGGAGCAACTTTGGAAATGGATTGTAAGACAAAAGCTGCATCTGACAAAAAGCAGAGCTGTATGGAAGATATAAGACCACAAGTACATTCTGCAAATGTTATCTCTAACTCTGTTTGGTGGAATGGAGCAATTCCTCCTTCCCTCTCCAGTCATAGAGTGGAATACTGCTTTGATAAGCAACATGTTTCTCTCTATAACCTAAAAGTGTAAGTAGTAAGAAAAGTGGTTCTCTGACCATGCAGAACAATTCTTGCTCAATGAGACTTGAGTACAGGCAGCTGGTTATAAACACTGACTCAACAGTCACACCAATTTTTGCACTTCACAGAAAAACACCTGCAAAGGAGAAGTAACCTTTTTCTAGACAAAAAAACCAAAACAAAACAAAAAAACCCAAACAACCAATTTTCTAATTCATAACTTTTTATACCTTTAGGTACCATGTGGCAAAAACTGCTCCTGCTTGTCACCAATGACCTTTCTATGACAAAGAGTGCAAGAAAATGTGAAGTCATGATGAGAGTGAGCAACAGGTGAAGTGACTGAGGATGAACAGAGAAAGTGCTGTGAAATAAAGATAAGATTGCAGACAAGAATATGACATATTGAAAAGGTGTGATGTAGTCACAGTGAAAACTGAAATGGAATGAAATGTTGAAAGGAAACAGGTATGCTTGAGGGGAACAGAAAAGGTAGAAATAGTGACGGGTCCCAAACCCTATGCAAACATTTAGCTTTCCTACACAAAAATTTATAGCTTAAATTATTAAGTTTAGGAACAAGTTCCTAATTTTCTCACCCAACTTATCTACCAGAAAGCCTCATCATAATGGAAAACACATACTGTTGTGAAGTTGCTCAACACTACATCTTCTGAAAGCAACATTTAACCCCTTATTCTGAGAATCTCTTCAACATCAGTAGTACAAAACTATTAACTGTAGTAATATAATGGAGCATTTTCAATCTTATTATAGATAAGAACAATTTTCCAGCCATTGTGTTCAGTGTAAAAAGGATCAGGCTCAATATATTCAAAAAAATCCAGCAATTTATTATTGCACAAGATCAAATATTTCTCTAGGAGTCATGCATAAACAAGTGTTAGTAAAGAAGACTTGGACCTCTCCATATCACATTTAAGTAATTTTTTTCTTCCAGAAAGAGGCCAAAAATACAAATAATTGTGTTTATATATAAATACCGTACATTCACAGTTTACATGAACTTACCTTTTCGTATTAAAACACAAAATTATTGTCTACAATCAAAACCAAACACCATGACATTGCAATCATAAGTTGATACAAAACACTGAATGCAGTGCAATGTGTAGCATTCATATTCTTCTGACAAATATTTTCACAAGCAGCCTTTTTTGACACATGAGCCACACAATTTCACATGGGGATGCTGTTGTAGCATTTACAAGTTTAGTAAAGCTAAGGATTTACATAAACAATTAGAGGAGTTAGGGAAGCAGGATGGCATGTGTCCAGTACACTCTGTAAGAGTGCCTGTTGTTTTTTTGCTAAGCAAAAAGCTTAAAGAACTAAGGGTTTGCAAAGCAGATTCAGCAGACAGTAGCCAGAAACGGTGGGTATTTTGGCGCATGCTTGGATCAGGTGACAGTACAGACTGAAAACTATGGCAGCTCACTGAAATGGTTACAGAAAGTAATGGCCCTGGATTCTAGGTGGAAGCAAAAAGGCAAGCATACAGAGCACTCAATCACAAGCTTGTCTAGCAAATCTACCAAGTAGTTTATAGCAAGGTTTATCTACAACTCGAAGCAGAAAAGTTTGCAAGGAGTTACACTGCTATTATGCGCCTTTTGTTGGAAACCAAAGACTGAATATTCAACCTATTAACGTTTTATTAACGTTTCAAAATTGGCATGATATTTATAACCCAGTGGAAGCAAAGCACACTGTTTCCAGAGTTGAGGACTTGAGAAACAATGTTGTTAGCAGTACCATGTTCTATAAAAATCGTGCCAACTTAAACCTCCTTCACTAAACTTCCCAAGCTCATTTTATGCAGCAGCTTTAGGAGACACAAACACCACTGTATTTAGCTTGTGCCCTAAATGCTACTTGAGTCAGCCCTATCCACCACCAAGTCACTTATCTCCTTCAAAACATGAGGTTGACTCCCATGAGCTGTACTGTCGACAGGACAATATCCTGTCCAAATCTTTCACCTGGAGATAATCCTAGACACTATCAATACTTTCTGATTCATAAGAAGCAACACCTTTCCCAAGTTATTTGCTAGAGGTTCACTGGTACAGGGTCTTTCAAGATTTAGCTAGAATCTGCTTTAAGCTAGGTGCATATATGGTTTTAAAAACTGAATAAAAATTAGGAATGGACTCTTGATTACACAGTTCATCCTCAAGAGTTCCTGCATTAAAGCTGAATCCCTAGACATCCTGAGGCAATTACTCTGAAGAAGGAACTGTATGATTCATTTCAACCTATTATACATTGTATCATTTAGTAAATATTTACATTTATAATGTAACATTCTGAAACAAGGAGGACAATCATACTATGAAAGTTTTCACAGTCTATAAATGACTCATTGTTCTGTTGTCTCAAAAATGGTAATGGAGACACAAATAATATTATTTCAAATTCAATCTTTGAGTCACTATGCAAAGCCATTATCCACACCTGCCATATCCACTCATTTTTGTATCTTCTCAATTCAAACCTACTAATCAGCTTATACATAAAGAAGTGGGGAATTTTTGGTTTGGTTTGGCTGGTTTGTCACCTTTGTTAGGTTTACAAGCACCTTTCCCTGGAACTTGAAGTTCTCTTTAATCCTTTCTGGTCATCCCATAAACACTGACATTATCAACTTTCTAAAATATTTAACGATTGAACAAGTGGATAAAGTTTAAACACAGAGTTTAAACTGCAAAGTTTAAACACAAAACTCGGGTAGCAAATAACTAAAACTACAACATGTTACTC